CAGACTTTTCGTTAAGACCCTAAAGAATCATATCAACTTGTGGAAAATGGGCATCCTATGACTCCTTTAAAGGAACTGCTGTCAGAAAAACACTTTTACAAAGAAGAGCCAGATGCCAGATCCAGCTATTATAAGCGTGCTTGGACTTGGCTTTTCCACTTAATTTGACATTTTAGAAAGTTAATAAAGTGGGATGTTGCAGTTTAGGGTTAGCGAGATCTTTATTTCATCTTATCTGCAAAATATTTGAACTAATTTCGGTTTATTTATTTTTTATTTTTCGGTTTTTATTTGTTTTCATTGCAATATCTAGCAAGATTGCATTTCTGACTTTTAAACTGACAGTAATCAAAAACACCCACGGATAGGTTATTGCTGACAAGATACGACATCTGGTAAGGCAAACGCAAAAAAACATCATGATATTATCTGTCAGAAACATTATCAACGCTATCAAAACCAGTAGCATTTAACACTAGTACACAGATCTGTAGAACAAGTAGGTTACACGATGAAATGAAATATGCAAACACTCCGTGGTGTAATGCAACGAAGTATTACATTACTTAAGTATTTTTTGGGAGTATCTGTACCAGTGTTCGAACTATACCGTGGACTTTGGGGGAGCCCACTTGTTTTTTTTATAACGGGGGGGGCTTACAATGACTTACAAAGATACATAACAGCTACAAGTGTATGCACTACTTGCTTTATGCAAGCACTATATAGGATAAATCACTATACAGGATTTACCCTATTATACTTTATCGACACAAATTGAGAGATGAAACAACAAACAGCCACCCACAAATAGGCCGTGTAGATAGGCAAGCATATATACAAATCATTTAGTAAGCAGAAATCCGAAATTTACCTTAACATATTAAGTTAGAGGAAGATGCGACTGAATTGATGCTTGAAGAATGCGCTTCCAGCAGCCATGATAAACAGTTGGCGGTTAAAGTTTTCTATGCAAAATTTGATTTGACGAAAGTCACGAGACCTATTACTCTCTATCCAATCACGTTGATGGATAAAAATACAATTAAAATAAGCATGTAATGACCACAAATGGAGGAAAATAGCGGAGTAAAAGTACTGATACATCACTTAAAATGTACTCAAGTAAAAGTAAAAGTACACAATTTTTAAACTACTAAAAAAAGTACAATTACTGATAAAAACTACTTAATTACTGTAACGTGAGTATTTGTAATTCGTTACTTCACACCCCTGTATAACAGTAATATATATTGTTGCATGAATAATAAACAAATAAAATTATCCACCCCTAACCTATAGTAAAGTATTAACAATTTGATGCAATAAATATGGTATAATTGAACAATGTTCATCCCTCCAAAACAGAGAAAACATCTTTCACAAACATCCACATATCTGTCTCTTTTAAAGTGTTAGTGTATATATAATGAGTTGGATTTGTAGGGGTTATTATAGCACAATTCTTAACCCCACCCAGACCTCACTAATTTTCAAACCCTGGTTACGGCCATGCCATGCTTATCTGTGACCTCCAAGATAGAATCTGTTTGTGTGTGTGTGATGGGTGCGTGTCTGTGTGTGTGTGTGTGTGTGTGTAATGGAGCTTTAAGTGTCTGTGAGCGTGTGCAGAAAGTTCCCACTGTTGTCCTCATATTCACATCTGTTTCTGACATTCACGGTGGATAAGCTCTGCATTCAGACACATTATGAGGATCATTCAGTGGAACAGATGCCAGTTTTCCAGAGTTATAAATGATTTTAAAATTAATTTCTGTATGATTAAAAAAAAACAACAAGAAAAAACAAGAATATCCTGTTAAACGATTACTGTCTCAAGCCAAATTAATACAGTATTGTTCAAAAGTTTGGGGTTGGTAAGATGTTTTTTGACAGAAGTCTCTTCCGCTCACCAATGCTGCATTTATTTGACCAAAATACAGTAAAAACAGTAATATTGTGAAATGTTAATACAATTTAAAATAACTGTTTTCTATTTTAATATATTTTGAAATGCAATTTATTCCTGAGCTGAATTTTCAGCATCATTGCTCCAGTCTTCAGTGTCTCATGATGCTTCAGAAATCATTCTAATATGCTGATTTGATGCTCAAGAAACATTTCTGATTATTATCAATGTTGAAAACAGTCGTGCTGCTTAGTATTTTCTTGGAAACCATGCTACATTTATTTTCCAGATTCTTTGATGAATAGAAAGTTGAAAACAACTGCATTTTATTTGAAATAGAAAACTTTTGTAGCGTAGTAAATGTCTTTTCTGTGACTTTTGATCAACTTAATGCATCCCAGCTGAATTAAAATATTAAAGTATATAAAAAAAAAGTTTATGAATCTTTTGTTTAATATAAAAAAAATATTGTAACATTAGGCAGCCTTCTAATGACACGCAAATCATAAATGGACACGAGTTAATTTGCTGAAAGGTTGCAGATGTCATTATGATTTATGGTGCATTAAGTATATTATTTTAATAATGGGGAGATATGATGCTAACAGGCTTGATGCATAATTCAGCTGTAATTTCACACTGTTAGTTGAGCAAGAAGTTGACATAGTGAACCTGAAGTAGTCTTACGGAATCATTTCAAACAGATGGTTCAGTGCTGTTGCAAATTTAAATATGATGCAGGTTATGTGGAGCAAGAGTGAGGTCTGCATCTTCATAAAGTGTTTGGAGTGAATTATCTTATTGTATGTTTTACTGTTTTATTGTGTTGATTTGGCCATGTCTCTGGTAAGGACTAACTTCATTCTCTCAAGCACAAAGATCATCTCATCATATCTTGTTTTTAACCAGTCATTCACTCTGACTATCTGCTTTGCACAGTATAGTTTGATGAGAAAATCCTGCAATTATCTCGCATTCGTTAGTTTTTGCTTTCTGGTGTACTTTACCGACATTCCACACATGACAGATATTTCCTGGGAACCTTTGCAATAGTTGACAATGTTAAGCAATATTTATATTTATGTATGTATGTATGCATTTAATACTCCTTATATAGAAACTTTATGGTCTTTATGAATAGTCATTATTATTATTGGTATTATTAGATATTGTTATTATTATCATTATCATTATTAGTAGTAGTAGTAATAATAATAACTAATGACTATAGTGGCACAATTACTAATTTATAAAAGTTTTCTTTTTAAATGTGTAGTTTCACTCCAAAATCTGTCATAATACAAAAGTAAAAAGGTTGCAGTTGCTGTATCATGTTTACTTATTTCATTTGTTTCAAGTGTTTCAACAGTGTAGCATTAGCATTGTATTTTTCATGTGTTTGTGTGGGGGGAAGGGGTGAATGGCATGTGTGTGATGTGATCTGTAATGGCATGTGTTTAAGGCAGACGCAAGTACAGCAAAGACAATCTGTCCTCCTGACACAATAGAGCCGTGACTATGACAGACCATTTGCTGTTTTTGTGTCTGTACATGATTCTCTCTGGAAAATGTCTCAGATCTTGCAAACCAAGAGGGCTGAACAAATGTTTCAGGGTGATTTTCCACCGACTAGTATATAATTATACTTGAGTAATACTTAAATGGGTCAAAAAAGTACTTTAAATTTCTCTCTAATTTCATTTTATATAAATAATACATACGAACTATAAAACATTTTTATTTAATTAAAAGTAACATACCCTAGTGAAAAATATATATACTAAAATGTATTGAAATGCACACACACACACACACACACACACACACACTCACACACACACACACACACACACACACACACACATGCCTGTGGCATTTTCACCCGCTTCTGTTGTCTTGTGACCTCTCAGTAATTGACTTGGCTCAAAAGACAAAGAGAAAGACTGACAGACGGATATTAGTGCAGCAGCTTCAAAAATGCATTTATCTTTCTTGGCCAAAAACATAACACTGTGCCTAAAAAAGGTTTAATGGTTTTAAAAAGTGTAAAAAACTTTTTGTGTGCTTAAAGGGAATTCACTTTCATGACTGTTTTTAACACACGTAATTATACTTTTAAAAAGTGCCCTTTGTAGTAATGTCCAATTAAAAGTTTTACTGTAAAGTATATTTAAAGATCACGTTTTAATATTTTTTTGTCATTCTTTACAGAAGTACACTTATTTTGATGTGTTGACTAACATGTAATACATACGAACTATAAAACATTTTTATTTAATTAAAAGTAACATACCCTAGTGAAAAATATATATACTAAAATGTATTGAAATGCATTTATTTTATGCTAAGTATACTACAAATACATTTACATATTTATGTACTTAATAAAAATACCCTGCAATTGTGCTTTTAATATACTAAACTGGTGCACGTAAAGTTTGCTAAATTGGAACAACTTATTTTGTGCTTAATGCACTTTAATTGAGTGGAAGTCTTGCTGAGCTCCAATTAAAAATATACTGAAGTATATTTGATTGTGCTAAAGTGGAACTATTGCAAGTATACTTAAGGTACGCATTTATTATTCAAAGATCATACAGTCCTCATCAATAGTGACATTAAAACACATTTAGGCTTAATATTAAGAAATGTGCATTGTGCACAAGTAGTACTCCAAAAAAAAGTTTAATTATTACATCAGTAAGTCTCGAGCAATATGTCAGTAAATATGCTAATGGTTTTTGAACACTACCTAGTATGAAATAAATGTATTTTAAATATATTCCTTTTTTACTAGGGTACATAACAAATAAATGTCCAAAAACATTACATTCAGTTCACACTTAAGTATATTATTTTAAAGTATATTATTTCTGTAATAAGCACTCTTTTTTAAAGTATGTTAAAGTGTACTTCATTTTAAGGGTATGCTTATCCTAAAAGGCACCTGAATGATAAATATTACAGCCAACATGCAATAGTTTGTTTTTGGCAGCACCTTAGATTCAGAAGCAAAAGGTCTTTATCATAAAGCCTAATTGGTTCTAACTTGAACATTTATTAAATCATCTGTGTGTTTTGTTGTTAACAGCATCGAGCATCGGGGCGGGTTCTGTTCGAGATGGTCTGCTTGCATCTGAACCTTATTGAGGGGGATTACTTTGGCCTGGAGTTCCAGAGCCATCACAGAAAGATGGTAAGTCAGAGTTTTTTCCTTAAGGTCCTTTTTTTTTTTTTACAGTCATAATTCATTTTTTATGACCATTTTCTACCATTTTTCTGACCCTTATAATTAAACAAGTTGATTTTTGCTGCTGTAGGAGCTCAATAATCTCAACACTAAAAAATGGTTGTTGTTAATGTGTCAATGAGTTTCTTAATTTTTGCAGTATGTTTTTATACAAAACAAAATTAACTGTAAGCTGACGCTGTGTGTTGTACGAGGCATGTTTCAAGATCCGTGTTTCAGTCGTACTCATCTCTGCTGTGTGCTCTACTCCACAGGTTTGGTTGGATTTACTAAAGCCCATTAGAAAGCAGATCACACGTAAGAGGCCTCACTGCTGTGTGTGTGTGTGTGTGTGTGTGTGTGAGAGTGAGAGCGAGAGTTTAGTATCTCTCTGTGATTTCCACAAGACATACTAGTCTCTATTTTTGAACGTTCTGATTCTAACACATTCATGCTAGGTTTATATAAATGTAACCCCGTGCATGCGTGTGTGTCCAGGGCCCAAACACACCGTCCTTCGGTTTGTTGTGAAATTCTTCCCACCTGATCATACAGTGCTGTTGGAAGAGCTGACCAGGTGAATCCATCACTCCACTCGCTCATTCCCTCTGGTCATTCAGTGAGGCTTTCATGTGTCTCTCACATGTGCTTGTATGCCTGTTCTCTCTCAGGTACTTGTTTGCGCTGCAGGTAAGGCAGGATCTGGCCAGCGGACGTCTCACCTGTAGCGATGCCAGCGCTGCTCTGTTGGTGTCTCATATCATCCAGTGTGAGTTATGCTGACTGTAGTAAACTGATAAACTAAAACCGATCGTTAAGACTCTAAAAAGTATAACATAGCCCATATACACACCTATAATTACACATAACTATATTTTGAGTGTGTGTATATATATACACATAACCATAAAAACATACAAGCACACAAAAAATGTATAACGTAAAACTATTATAAACTTTTATTTACAGTACCATACATTTAAAGAAATATATCTTTTTTTAATTTATTTGATTACTTTTCTTACCATAACTTGGTCACACTTTATTTTTAGGTCCAATTCTCACTATTAACTAAATATATACTGTAGTTCAGTCATGAAACTTTAGATGGCGCAGGCGACAGGTTGTTAACATAACCGATGATATTCAGAGAGTTAAACGACTTGGCACAAGCTGATTGGTTCATGCTGCATATGCAGCCAGTGAGCTTACTGCCTTGCATTTATATGGCTGGCTGGCATTCACTTGAGATTCCTGCAGCGCGCTTTCAGAGTTTCTCTGAAACCCTCCACCTTCCCCAGCTCCACCTGTATAGATCTGCTATGGGTTATTTTATATGCTATTTGTGCAGCAGCAGTATGTCTTAAATACTCACAGCACCGTATCACCGTATGCACTGGCAGTAGCAAGTTCCTGTACTTGCTTGCAGCAGCAGCAATAATCTACAACTACAGCAATAACCAACAGCAGCAGCAATTCAGCAGCAGCGTAGCAGATCTGTTCCGCCAAGACCAAATACATTAACATTGTCATATCCATCACCATGCTAAAATATTCAGAGAGTTGTCATGATTGAACTATTAACTACGACTCCTGCCTCAAAAATCTCCTAATTTGCTGCTTATCAGCAGTTAGTAAGGTAGTAGTTAAGTTTAGGTATGGAGAAGGATTAAGAGATCTAAAATATGGTCATGTAGAATAATGCATTAATATGTGCTTTATAAGTACTAATAAACAGCCAATATGCTAGTAATATGCATGCTAGTTAATAGTGGGAACTGGCCCTTAAAATAAAATGTTACCAATAGCTTTAGTAGCAGGGTTGAATGGTTGAGCTTGACAAATGCAGTCAGCACTACAATTTGTGTAAAACTGAAAAATGGAATGACTATTTTATACTTGTTAATATTACATTTTTTCTATAGTGATTAAATGTCAGATAAAGAGAAAATCTTTGTACAACTAGCTATTGCTATGCGAATTATGTATACTGTATATATACAGGAGCAACTAACGCATGCTGTAATCCAGCAGGACAATCATTCAGTAATAGTTATATACTTTCTCTATCTCTTTGTCTCTGTCTTCAATCCCTGTCAGTCATTTGTCATTTACTCATAGTGAACCTGTGTGTGTGTTTATTTAGCTGAGATTGGTGATTTTGAGGAAACTCAGTGTAGACAGCATCTACTTAACACCAACTACATCCCTGACCAGATGGCCCTGATGGACAAAATCATGGAGTTCCACCATAAACACATGTGAGTCTCCCAAACAAAACACTAATGCTCGCTGACTGCACACTTTCAGTAGATTGCCAACATCCATTTAATTTGATTGTGCTTTTTCATCTGGTAGTCATTTTCGATAATTTGTATACTGTTTTTCCACCTGCAATGTGACAATTAAGTGTCGGATGTTCAGAGGGCATTTAGTAGATGTTGTTGTGACAGTATAAATTATTACAGAATCAAGTACATTATAGCATATAGCAAAACACCAGTCAGTGTCATAACTTTGTGTTTGTGTGTGTTTAAGTGGACAGTCTCCCGCAGAGTCAGATTACCGGTTGCTGGAGGTGGCGTGCAGGTTGGAGATGTACGGTATCCGACTCCATCCTGCTAAAGACAGAGAAGGAACCAAACTCAGCCTGGCTGTAGCACACGGCAGCGTCCTCGTGTTTCAGGTGCATGCAATCACACACTCTCTCTCTCACACACACATAAGCATACATGAACCACAGCATGACACAAGTTGTGTTTTACTCAGGAACACAACAGGATCAACGACTTCAACTGGTCTAAAATACGCAAGCTGAGTTTCAAGAGAAGGAGGTTCCTTATCAAACTGAGAGCAGACCCTAGCGTGAGTTTCATGCAGTATGAATGTGTCATTATATTAAGCGCACATTTATCATGTCGAATTGTGACATGGTGTCTCTGTCTGTCTCGTCCTGTAGCAGAATATTAATCAAGATACTCTGGAGTTTCTGATGGCGAGTCGGGACTGCTGTAAAATGTTTTGGAAGATCTGTGTGGAGTATCACGCCTTCTTCAGGCTCTTTGAGGAGCCCAGACCCAAACCTAAACCGGTGCTGTTTAGCAGGGGCTCATCCTTCAGGTTCAGGTGCTAAACCTGATTAAATGCTTTTGGTAACATATATATGTGTATTTGTCTGTAGGTGAAGTGTGAACCCTTGTGAAAAGAAGTGCACTTAACTGTATTGAATGTGTACTTCAAATCTTAAAAGTATATTTTTAAAAACTGTACCTGCAGATAATGTATTATTAATTAAATAAAAGGCCACTTAAGTGCAGAGTAAAATCATTATGTTTCAATAGTTTTTTTTTTCATGCTTTAAAGAAGTACACTTATTTTGAAGCACATGACAAATAATTGATTATAATTTTAACTGTAATGTATTATTTGCTCTTGTCAACATGTTGTGTAATTCAGTTGGACTAATTACCCCCTCTTCTCTGCAGCGGGCGGACACAGAAGCAGGTGATAGATTACGTGAAGGAAAATGAGTTTAAAAAACTGCCCTTTGATAGGTGAGCCTGATCTGTTATTATAATGAACGGAAAGTCAAGAGTTCACCACTGCTATTCCTTTAATGTTTAATTAGTAGAAACTTGTAAGGCTGTCTGGTTCATTGTTTGTGTGTCTGCTGTTTTCTCTTTCAGGAAACATAGTAGAGTGCAGTATAGCAGCAGCCTGTCACCTCTGCGTCACCAAGTGCCAAATCAAGTTAGTGTCTGCACATATGAATGTTTTCAAGCCACTTTTAACTAAGAGAGATGTTGGTAACATTTTAGAATAGGGAACACTTATTCACTATTAACTACGACTTTTCCCTCAATAAATTCCTAATTTGCTGCTTATTAATAGTTAGTAAGGTAGTTGTTAAGTTTAGGTATTGGGTAGGATTGGGGATGTAGAATAAGGTCATGTAGAATAAGGCATTAATATGTGCTTAATTAGTACTAATAAATGGCTAATATTCTAGTAATATGTATGCTAATAAGCAACTAGTTAAGAGACCCTAAAAAGTATTACTGAGATGTTAAGCTCACTCTAAATCATTTGTTGCATGATATTATGTTGCACAGAAAATATTTCAGAAATGGATGGATAAATATTAAAGGTGCATTCAGTCGTATGTTGTAGTCGTAAATTGTATACTTAGGAAATGCATTTTTGTGGAGTTTTTGTGAAAAGTCTGAATCTGAATGGCTGTAAACTCAAACATAATGAAGACTGTACTGTAATAATTTTCTAAGAAGTGTCTATAGATGCATTAGTAGGATAGTGTAATTTGGTAATGTGAAGAGCAAAAGTTAGACAATGGAACACTGTTTTCAGTATTCAGTGTTCAGTGTGTATGCTATTATCGTAATTGGTAACACTTTATTTTAAGGTGTCTTGTTACACGTTACATGTACTTACTATTATAATAACAATTAATTATGCATAATTACATGCAAGTAACCCTAAACCAAACCCAAATCCTAACCCCAACCATATAGTAAGTACATGTAGTTAATTAATATTACTCAGTACTTAATTGTATAATTACACTGTAACAAGGACACCTTAAAATAAAGTGTAACCTCGTAATTTACCAGCAAAGACAACAGGAGAATCACCAGTATGGCCGAAGAAGTAAAAAATGTCTGAAGCCAGTAAACAGAATGACAGAAACAATCATAAACATCAGCATGGCATAAAAAAGGTGGAAATATTTGACTGAAAATATCCCGAGTAGTGATGCCCAAGTTGCTTCTTTTTGGTCGGACAAGTAAGGGTTTAATTACTGTGTAATCTGTTCTCTAAAACTCACTAGTATCAGTGTAATTTACATAAAACTCACAGACAATCATGCTGATCCGTGCGATAGATGGCAGTGAAGCATCTACCACCATTTCGGTATTAGTACTTACAGTACACAAAGAACAGCAACACTAATGCTAGCTAAACAACTACTGAATGCACTTTTAAATTAGTATAATTTATCTTAAATAATAAAAATAACAAAATAAAATGAATGACTGAACCAATGGACTGGGCCCTAGAGGAGCCTAGTGTTCAGCCCTCTTTGGCTGAAGGGCCTGGCGTCCTGAAGCTTTGGAGGCCACGGGGCAATGATCCCACTGGTTCAGTTTATAATCCAGCCCTGGCAAGAATAGCAGAAATTGACATGATGTTACTATCTGCAAACTACTATTCTCAAATTCCACCCTTAGCCAAGTGCTGTCATAACCAGAGATTCATCCATGTAGTTCCACCCTAAAAAAAAGACAATTTAAAAAAATGCATAGATCAAAAAATTAATTTAACTCAGGAACAAGCCTCACATTTCTGCTTCTACCCGCTCTGGAATGCTGGCCCCTAGACTTCCTTTGTAATTGCACTGCTGTAAATGACAAGTCAATTAATTTCAGTGATTGGTAGCCCATTACTCATGTAGAACCCAGAATACTCTGGAACCCATAATGTGTAGGTACTGATGATGGACTTCTCTCTTCCTCTCTCAGTCTGTCAAGCAGTGCTGGGAGGGCTCATTTTTAGTAAGCTCAGAAGATTCTGCGGTAGTAAGACCAGGCGGAAACTCCTCCCCATCAACTCAGCGCAACGGATGCAGCGACCAAACGTACCCCATTCAAGAGGACAGCAGCAGTCCGGCAGCTAAGCAGCCGCCTGTCGATCAAGCAGGTCTGGCGTCCCGTGCAGCTAAAGGCAGCAGCTCATCCATCCCGTATATTGACTGCAGTGATGCAGAGTTTAGTGAACAGGAAGTCAGAGGTCAGGTCAGCAGGTCACACTCGCACACACGTGATGGCAACAGCGGCAGCGCTTATGGCACAGGGTTTGGTTCGCCCCGGCCACATCAGCAGGACAGATACTTGGGCAAGTTCAGGCAGAAAGAGTCTCTGCCTCTTTCCCCTGTAAGTCAAGTAGAAAGCCCTGCCCACAGCTATCCCAGCCCCTCCTCTCCAAATCAAAGTGCTAACATTTTTGAGTCGTCATTTTTTGGAGGCAGGGTATGTGGGCCGCTTCATAGCACACTATTGGAAGAGTTGGCCGCAAAAAGCTCCTTAAACCACCACACAGGCACCAGGAGCCTGACCTCTAGCCCCGCCCCCTCCTCAATTCACAGGACCAGCTCACTAAGCTACGCCCAGTATAATGGACACACCGGGCAGAGCTTTAGTTCAAAAGCAGGACGGGAGGAAAGGGGCGGACTATTTAGTAGCTGCTCCCCAATTATGAATCGTTCAGCAAACAAGTCCCAGAACACTGTTAGCCAATTAGAAAGAAACATACGAGTCTCGAATCAGCCACACCCTCCCGTTCTCCCCCGTGCCGAGAGAATGGCCATGTTGGAGCGCCGAATGCTGGCCAATGGGCTCACGCCTCCCGGCAAGGCCAATCTCAAGCCAAGCTCCCCGCACCGGCGCTTTGGGGCTGTGCAGATGATTGACGGCTCCACCAGTAGTGGAACAGACACTAGCGACTCTGAAGAGGCGGAGTCTACTGGCTCCTGCAGCCATTCGCTAGGGCTTGAAAACCAAGCTCAAGTATGTCAAGACAAGTACTCGTTCGGAAGCTTGCAGCTAGATGAGCTTGACAATGAAGGAGGGTGTGTGAACCTCAGCGATGAGGAAGGGATGGAAGTGTTTAACTGCTAGCATGCTAGTGTGAAAACGTCATTGCGGTGTGCTTCTCGGCAATGCCACACTGAGTGTTCTTTCCTATACCCTGAGATGGCCTTAGCTGTGTGACAAGGCGGATATTCTTCCCTTTCTTGAGGCAAAACTCTGTATAGTTTTGCAGGAAGGGATTTTACCCATCCTCTGTATTTGAACAAGAGGGGGCTTTTGTGGTGCCAAGTTCTGCACAGAATGCTAATTACTGACAGTTCTGATGCTGCAATAATCTGGAATACTTCAGAAATTCAGAGTGATGTTGTCACTCCCCGGAGTAACTTCGAGATCTCTGCGTTTGGAAAAATGCGAGGAGCCATAACAGTAGATGTGAACTTGATTTTGCCAAGTAAGACATGTTCCTGGATCCATATCCTTGTTGATACTGGAGCGACTTTCCTGTTGACCAATCAGATGTTTGGGTTAGGGTTAGGTTTAGTCTTAGAGTTGAAGACTGGGGTTCCAACAGCACTGTCAACTCATCATTTCGCTCTAGTTTTTAAAAGTTCTTAAGGGTGAGGCTGTAATATGAATGAGTCTGAGGTAGAACACTTTTTGGGGCCTTCATGCCTCTCCTTTATGAGGAACACTCTGCATTAATCATTACTTTTAGACTTTTTAATAACTGTAGGAACTAGAACTTGGATCCTACTGTACAGTTGAAATGATTGTGGTACTTTTAGAACAAGGCTGGGCAACTCTGGCCTTCAAGGTCCTTTGTCCTGCAGAGTTTTGGTCCAACCTTTCCTGTAGCTGTCTAGTAATCCTGAAGACCTTGATCCCCTTGTTCAGGTCTGTTTGATTAGGGTTGGATCTAAACTCTGCAGGTAAGTAGATCTCAGGGGCCAGAGTTGCTCACCCCTGCCTTTGAAGCTTGTGTAGCTCTCAGTATGGTGTAGAGCACGTTTAGCCAGCCCTGTTCCTGGAGGACTACCTTCCTGCAGAGTTCAGTTCCAACACTGCTCCAACACACCTGCCTGAAACTTTTAAGTAATCCTAAACACCATGTTTATAAAGTATATTTGATTGGGGATGGAGCTAAATTCTGCAGGATGGTAGCTCTCTAGTAGCAGAGTTGGCTTCCCCTGCTATAGAACTTCATCTTCATTCATATTCTCAATCGTCACTTTGCCAGTTTGCCATTTGTACATCTGTGCTGGCACTCACAGCTGCTTCTTCATAGAATCATTTAAAGAACAGTGTGATTTTTGAAGTTTCACTCATCATGGCAAAAGATCTTCATATCATGGTCTTCATTGTGTGGCTAATTTTTCCTTCTGGCTGAGCCTCGGAAATATCTCAGTTTACTATGATAAATTAGCAGATTTAGACTGGACATTTTTAATGGTAACAAAATCCTGCATGCTTTTTTTTATTAGGTAGATTTGAATGTACCCATTTTGAATATAAGGGGGTTTTGTCCTATTGTGTCAAAATTGTGATGAATGTACTTGTCAGTAAGAGATTTCAGATTATGAAATGAAAATCCTCTCATTGTATACTCATCTTCATGTCACAAAAGGAAACATTTTGAAGAATGGTTTGCACTGCTTTTTTAGAAAACAACAGAAGTGTACAGTTTATTGGTCTCAATGGGCCATATGGGTTTGGAATGACACGAGGGTGAGTAGGTAATGACAGAACTTTCATTTTTGAGTGAACTGTCTCTTTAAGCTGTACGATGGTTCAGTCTCCTCTACCTTACCTTGCACATGGGTTTACCTGTTATCCTTCAGCAGGGATTGGAAAGGGTGTTTTTTGATAATTTAACAAAAATTGCATACTTGTAGTATATTTTATTTTTTTTCAAAAATTCCCAGAAAGAAAAAAAATCTATGAAAATGTGATAATGCCATCTAGCACATGAGTTTCTAATCCCTGCCTGATTTCTCACTCAGCTTTGATGTCTCTACACTCTTGGCTGATATTCACTATTGTTTTATACCTTTTCTTTCCTGCCCTGTTTTTTTTTTTTTCCTGAAACCGCTTGAGCTTGTCATCCTTGTCATTTATGATCAATAAATGCTTGTTATGTTTTCTTCTGGCATTTAAAATGGAATGAAATAATCTTTGTAACTAATGGTGTTTTTAAATGCTGGGCTGCATGCTCTCCCTTCATATGGCTATTCTGTTCTATTTCAATGAAAGCTGAAAGGGCAGAGCGTCCTGGGAACTTTTCACACATGAAAATTTAAATATCCTTATGAATGTCTGTGACATGACTGATCTTTTGTTTGTTCACACAATGATCAAATTATACACCAGGACTATTTATAAATCGGCTTTATGGCCTGAAAAAAATGATACCACCTGCTGTTCATTTGTGTGAATGACATGTTGATGTTCTTTCTCGCACCTTGGCTATGTTCAGAATGGAATACTATTGGAATACTATTCGGAACATAGTCGTTCCCTCTCTTCCTCTGTCTCATTCAGCACTGTTCAAGCTTAATCTCTGTTCTGATGTTTCCCTGCCTGTTTCTTCTCAATGACTTTTGGTTCTGCTGCTCTTTATAAACCACATAGACTTTTTAACACTGTATTTTGTGCACTAGTGTCAATAAAGTTACAGTTGGCCTTTGAAGACTCAGGAATTGTTTTTTAAAGCTTATAATGCTCATATTTTTCATAATCCAACCCCCCTTCCCTTTCACTCCTACCAACACCCCCCACCCCCTCCCGGCTAGCAATGGCTGCACAGCGCATGTCTCACTATCTGTCAACACATGTATGTATATAAAGTGCAGCATACATGCATTAGTTCACATTATATACTGAACAAAATTATAAACGCAACACTTTTGTTTGCCAAATTCTCTGAAACGCCTTTGGAGACGGCTTATGGTAGAGAAATGAACATTCAATTCACGGGCAACAGCTCTGGTGGACATTCCTGCAGTCAGCATGCCAATTGCACACTCCCTCAAAACTTCCAACATCTGTGGCATTGTGCTGCGTGATAAAACTGCACATTTTAGAGTGGCCTTTTATTGTGGTCAGCCTAAGGCACACCTGTGCAATAATCATGCTGTCTAATCAGCATCTTGATATGCCACACCTGTGAGGTGGATGGATTATCTCGGCAAAGGAGAAGTGCTCACTAACACAGATTTAGACAGATTTGTGAACAATATTTGAGAGAAATAGGCCTTTTGTGTACATAGAAGAAGTTTTAGATCTTTGAGTTCAGCTCATGAAAAATGGGGGCAATTTTGTTCAGTGTATGTTTGTATGGTGTAGTGTGAATTGTTTGTATGTTGTATGGTTTACATGGAGTTTGTGCTGTAAATGCACTACCATTTACAAGTTTGGACACGTTCCTTATTATTACAGTTTTCCATATTTTCAAGTTGTCAAAAGTATGAAATAACATGATGTAGTGGCCAAAACGTGAAACAAATCAAAAGTCTTATATATTTCGGCTTCTTATCCAGCTATCACTCAACTAACTAACTTTAAACTGTATTTATGGAGTTCATATGTACTGTATGCCAGCGACTTGTTGATGCTTTTCCCTTGTGAAAAATAAATGTGCTTAATTGTATTGAATGTACACTTGTAGTGTACTTAAAATCAAAAAGTATATATTTAAAAAAAAAACTGTACTTGCAAATAATATTAATAAAATTAGATGCTCTTAAGTGTACTTAGAGTAATCATTCATGACTTCTTAACACACTTAAGTGCACCTTTAAAAAGTACAGAATGTCAGATTAAATTAAAAGTATTACTTTAACGTAATACTTTAAAGTTTACATTTTAAATCATTGTTTTAATAATCTTTTGTTGTGCTTTGATGAAGTACACTTATTTTGATGTGTTGACTAATGTACTAAAACACATGTGAAGTACTTGATTATAATTTTAACTGTATTGTAGATATAACGTTTAAAGTTAATATATTTTAAATGTACCAAATTGCAATTTCATCATTACAAATGTGTAATTACAAATATATTTAATTACATTCCATTTTCAATAGAAATAATATTAAAGTATATTTTAGTTTACTATAAATGCTTATCAGTGCATTCACATTAACCATATTTCAAAAACGAAGACTGAAGTTCATCTAATTGCATTTAATATAAATTCTAATTATGTACATTTTCATTTAATCGCATGTTAACTGAAATGTTTCTGAAAACATTACAGTCAGTTCGCACTTAAGTATATTATTTCCGTAATGAGTACTCTTTTTAAAAGGATGCTGAAGTGTACTTCTGTTTCACACAAGGGCGCAACTTGTCTATTTGAAACTTTTGAGTTTAAGAGCTTGAAGGTAATGAGAAACGTGTTCACAGCTTTGAATGGTAGAGTATACAGTATGTCCTTAAGATAGCCCTCACACTGGTTTGTGTTGGTGTCTGTGTCGGGCTGCACTCACACCTGCTTCATTTATCATGACTGCACTACTCAAAGGAAACACAAGAGGCGGATTTGGGCAAGTACTGAGAAAACCCTCCTGTAGGAGTACAGATTTGTGGAAAGCGCACTAGACTATAGGAACAATGAACATAGACATGCATATTTAGCATTTATCAATTATTTATTTGACCCATTTAGACTCAAGAACTGTTACTGCTTATATCCCGTACCAAATGTACAATGGCAATACCATGGTACAGCAACTTTGATAAATGCATGTATGATCACTGTATCCCTGTACTATGGTACTCCATAATACTTCAAAGATTAACATGCTACTCCCATGGTTAATATTCAAGAGAAACATAGCAGTACCATAGTATTTTTGTAGTACTTTTTTTTGCTATTGATGCATATTTGCATGCTAAAATAAGTGAAAGTGAAGCCTAAATGCACACATCCCATATCAAAACGATAAATATAATAGGAATCTGCCTCAGGTCTGTGCTAATGATTTTCATCTGTGTCTGTCTCTCGTTCTCAGAGGTGACGTGTGCTTTGGTAACATTAGTTAACGGTCACGCTGATGACTGTAGAGGAGCGACGCCATCTCCTCTCATCTCCCCCATGCTGAATGACACTGGTGCCATACGCACTGATGATGAGGAGGACAACAGGAGGAAGGCGAGAGCTGTGGATGAACGGGTGTGTTTGCTAGCAAGTGGAAACTGTGTTTATGTGACTGGCTGTACAGTCAATAGTTCTCAAAAGCGTAAAGATTTGTTACATGGTACCATAGCAGCACGAACAGTTTTCGGCATTGATAATAAGCAAATCAGCATATTAGAGTGATTTCTGAAAGATCATGTGACACAGAAGACTGGAGTAATGATGCTGAAAATTCAGCTTTGCAACACAGGAATAAATTACATTTTAAAATATATTACAATTACATTATCCTACATGTATTTAAATTACATTTAAATGTACGTCAGTGTGGCTTTATTTAGTTTATATGCATAATAAATAGGGTGACCATACGTCCTCTTTTCCCCGGACATGTCCTCTTTTTGGACCTAAAAAAAAAATGCGTCTGGCCGATTTCTTAACTTCTTTGGGGAAGTCGTGGCCTAATGGTTAGAGAATCGGACTCGTAACCCAAAGGTTGCGGGTTAGAGTCTCGTTCCGGCAGGGATTGTAGCACTTTGGATGGGTAAATGCAGAGCACTAATTCCGAGTATGGGTCACCATACTTGGCCACATGTCACATTTCACTTCACTTAATCACCCAAAATGTCTGGGATTTGACTGTTTTCATAATCTCGCTCCTGCTGAATCTCTGACCATTGCCGCCTGCTCCCGCAACATGCGTTTCGCTCCCGCGATTTTCATGTTCACTCCTTTAAACATTCTAATATTGTGCATCAGGGAGCCGCTCTCAGTATTTAAATCCCTTTTGAATGAGCGTTCGCGCTGTTCACTTTTGATTTCGCGATCACGCACTCTGTGTAAAGGGAGCACATCTTACCACATCAGATATGTGTCAATGAGCTCAGGATCTGTTGAGCAGCAAATACTCAAGCATGGTCTTGTCAGTCATCTCTTCTTATTCTCGACCTGTGGTCAGTCAAATCTGACTCCTGCAGCTCTTGTTGGATGCAGGGTTGCCAAGTCTTGGCACTTTTAAACTGTTGCCATAGGTTGATTTTCCCAAGTGGGTTAAAAGTTTGAAATATTGCATAAATTACATTTTACTGAAATGCTTGTATTGAAACATTTTGCATTCTACCTATGATAAAACTTTCATGGACTTTTACATTAACTGTCCCCTCCTGGTGGAATGACCTACCCAGCTCAATCCAAGCAGCTGAGTTCTTAATATTTTCAAGAAACAGCTGAAAACACATCTCTTTCGTCTTCATTTGACCCTCTAACTCTATAGAGTTAGAGGGTCAAATGAAGACGAAATGAAGGGTCAAATGAAGCATTATAACAGAGAGTGCTATAGCACTCTCTATTATAATGCTAATTCAAATTTTATCTGCTTGTTTTTTTATTTAAAAAAATCGACCCTCTAACATTTGCATCTCTATTCTATTTCTATTCTATCTACTTGTTTTATTTAAAAAGAAAAAAAGAGCCTTTAACACTAGCATTCTCTATTCTTTCTCCGTTCTTTCTACTTATTTTCTTTTTATTTATTATAAATAATGACCTTCTAACACAAGCATTATCTATTATTTTTCTGTTCTATTGACTTGTTTTATTTTTATTTATTATAAAAACAAAACAAGCAACGAAACACACATACACACAGACAAAAAACTTGCTATGTATACTTTTAGACGAAACCCCGCCCACGAACAAAAAAAAAAAGAAACTAAAATATGGACATCCTAATAATAAACCATCTCTATAACTCAACTGTAGTATAGTTGATGTCAGTTTTCATGAAGTGTTATATTGTACTGATGACTTGTGCTGTGTTGTGTGTGGTTTTGCAGAACTGTCCCGCTGATAACGCGTACTTCATAGCTAAAGAGTTGCTGAACACTGAGAGGACGTACCTCAAGGACCTGGAGCTGATCACAGTGGTAAATGATGGACAGACTCTTCATCAGATCTCCACACACACACACACACACACACGCATTCCTGTCCAGCCACAGTGGGCGGGTTTACATTCATCTATAGAGCTCAACCCACAAAACACAGTGCAGTCATCAGAGGCTGTGGATCAGGTTTAAAGAGCAGTGTGTGTGTGTGTGTGTGTGTGTGTGTACATGTGAGAGAGTACTGAAATGGGGTTATGTTTACAGGCCTGAGGGTAAAGTGGCTTTTGTAGGACTTTACCACAGTTTAACGCAGCAGCATATCTTCACAGGGGTTCTGCTTACTTTATCAGCTGCACGCATGAACATGAACATGAACCTCACACTCTGTCCAGTGACTGAGTAAAATTTTTTAGAGAAGTTCTGTCATCTCAAGCTGAATTTTCAGCATCATTACTCCAGTCTGCAGTGTCACATGATCCTTCAGGAATCATTCTAATATGCTGCTCAAGAAATATTTCTTATTATTATGAGTGTTGAAAACAGTTGTGCTGCTTCATATGTTTAATATGAAAACCTTGATACATCTTAGATTAATTGAAAAGAGCAACATTTATTTGAAATTGAAAATTTTTATTATAACTGTCTTTATAAATGGCTTTACTGTCACTTTTGATCAATATAATGCATCCTTGCTGAATAAAAGTAGTAATTTCTTAAAAAAAAACTGATGACACAATTTTGAAATGTAGTATATCCTCGTATTATATCATGATCTACACTCGATAAACTACACATTTATTAAAAACTACATTTTCAATATGAACTTTCCTAATAAGAATAGCTACACAATACACATAGGAACCACACAATGATTAACTCTCATATAAGCAGGTACAGGTGTTGTAATATGATTGATGTCTGTGTGTGTGTGTGTGTGTGTGTGTGTCAGTTGTTTCAGGGAGTGTTGGATAAAGAGGATTGTGTTCCTGACGCTCTGAAGACACTGTTGAGTTCCACCTATGAGCCGCTACATTCCCACCACACACACTTCCTCCAGGAGCTCGAGGAGAGACTATCACTGTGGTGAGTAACACACACACACACACACACACACACACACTCGATCAGGTTTCAGGCTACAGTCTCGACAGTAAGCTGAGTTTGAGTGATGGTTTCAGCAGTGGCAGCAGTGACAGCTCTCAGTGTAATTATCATCATTAGGGTCATTTGAGCGTTTGAGAGACTGAAGCTTGCGTGTTAGTATTCACATGTTCACATGAGTCTGCTTTTTTCATGTTAAACTATATATGCAGTCAAGGGTAAATGAGTATGAAGGCTGAATCTTATCCTGCACCTCAATCTGCATAATATCTGTTCTAAGTAGTTTGCGAAATTGGAATTAGTGTCCCTGATCATAGCATGGTGAAAATAGTAAAATAAAGATTTCTGGATGATATAAGTTTATCTCTTCATGCTATGGACCCTTTTTACAGATTGATGGCACGTTTTTGCAATAAATAACACCTTTTTTAAATATTTGTATTATTTCTTTATTTAATATACATTATACCACTATACTTTGTGTTCTATTATCCTAGCATTAAATTACAAAATAAATATTTTTTTCTTCAGATCAGTATTATTTTAGTATTATTGATATGCTATTATAGTTTTATTTTAATATTTTGAATTCGATTTTTTTATTATCTCGTCTTTCACTTCGTCTTGTTTTTGTAATTTTCATTATTTATGTTTTTTTTAATGTGTCTTTATAGTATTTATTAATTATATTTATTAGTTTTAGTTTATTTTACTATTTAAATTAAACGAAAATGAGAAAAGTTTTTTTATATTTTATTTCTATTAACATTTATTTTGTTTCAGATAACTGAAATGTTTTATGGTTTTAGGTTTTGCTGATGGAACAAATGCGAACACAAAATTACATTACACTCTGTATTAGTGTCCTTGTTACAGTGTAATTATTCCGTTATTAAATAACAACATGTACTTGGAATTACATGTTTGGTTTAGGGATAGTTGTTATGCATAATTTACTGTTATTACTAATTATGTGTAACAAGGACACTGTGAAATAAAGTGTTACCAAAAATTACATTTGTCTCCTTTTCACCTCAGAAGTTTACTGTCCACTGTCCTGTAGAGTTTAACTCCAGCTCTGATCAAACAGAGCTCAACAAGCTAGTAATCAAGCTCTTCGTGAGTGCTAGACAGTTACAGGCAGATGAGATTGATCATGTTTAGAGCTAAACTCAGCAGGACAGAGGACTTTGAGTGCTGGAGCTGAGAAACACTGCTTCAGTAAATAATGTAATTATGCAAATTACGCAGCTCTACTCAGAAAACATCATTAGTCTGGAGTCGATTATGATCGCCACCTGCTGGTCAAACCCCACCATTGTTCAGTAACTAATGATAAAAGTGTGTACAAGACGTTTAAGGGTTAGTTCATCCAAAAATAGTAATTCTGTGATCATTTACTCACCATCATGTCATTCCAAAACTGACTTTCTTTCTTCTGGGGAACTCACAACAAGATATTTTGAATGTGTTTGTAATGTGTTTTAGGGAAGGCCGATGCAATATGCAGGTTAAAGGAGAAATCCAGCGTATAGGAGACCTGCTGCTGAAGACCGTACAGGAGATGAAGGTGATTCTGTGTGTGTGTGTCTGTGTGTGTGTGTGTGTGTGTGTGTGGTAGATGGTTTGTTATCAGTCATGATATTGTCAGTATTGTGTGTGTTTGTCATTCTTCAGGCTCTCTCAGCTCAGCTGCAGACGAGCTCAGAGTGTGTGTTTGCACTGGAGAGAGCATGTGTCGCGTCCCGCAGTCTGGAGTGTGTGTGCCGTGAGTTTGAGCTGCAGAAGGTGTGCTACATTCCTCTGAACGTCTTTCTGCTGAGTCCTCTCCATCGCCTGCTGCACTACAGACAGATACTAGACAGACTCTGCAAACACTTCCCGCCGTCACACACCGACTATAGCGACTGCAAAGGTGAGAGTGTGTGTGTGTGTGTGCGCGTTTTTGTGACAAATGAGGACATAAATTTGTATAATGACAAAGGTATGACATAGGTATTACAAGGAGAAGGTGACTTTTCAGGACGTTACCCCATGTGTGTGTGTGTGTGTGTGTGTGTGTGTGTGTGTGTGTGAGCAGGTTTTTGATCTAGCTGAAATTTTGGAGAAAACAGGGATGAAAAATGTTCCCTGAAGACAGCTAAATCTGAAAACAACTTACTTTTTCGGGATGTCCTCAATAGAAAAATGCTTCATAAAAGTATTTATTTTAAAACAGCCAAAAGGTGCGTTTTAGTGCTTATTTAGAGGAACTGAAGAACCAGAAAGCCTGCTGCAAAGTTTGTGAACCCTTAGAACTTTTCTGTATTTCTTTATACATTTGACATTTATTGAGGTCAGATAAAATAATAATAATAATAATAATAATAATTAAAATAAAGAGAATTCAGTTACAGAAATAACACAAAAGACATGGCATATTCTCAATAATTTAGTAAGTGTGTTTATATAAAAACTGACCAATATGAAATAAAAACATAAAAATAAATATGAATAAAAAATACACTAGTATGTAAACTAGCACTAGTCTTCATATATACATTACATTATATTATATTATATTATATTATTCTATGGTCAGTCAGATTTTCTAATGTTTTTGAAAGATGTCTCTTGTGCTCATATGTGATATATTGTGAAAATATGATTGTAATCTAAAATAATTGTTTTCTATGTGAAAATATGTGAAAATATTATCATTACTCCAGTCTTCAGTGTCACATGATTCTTCAGAAATCATTATAATATGCTGATTTGATGCTCAAGAAACATTTCTGATTATTATCATCAATGTTGAAAACAGTTATGCTGCTTAATATTGTTGTGGAAACCATGATATATCTTAGATTAATAGATGAATAGAAAGTTGAAAAGAGTAGCATTTATTTGAAATTGAAAATGTTAGCTATAAATGGCTTTAGAAATGTCTTTACTGTCACTTTTCGTCAATTTAATGCATCCTTGCTGAAACTAATTAATTTCTTTAATTCTTTAATTTAATTTAAGTAATTTCTTTGTAAGGATATTATTTTTATTCCTTGATAAATAGAAAGTTCAAAAGAACAGCATTTATTTTAAATAGAAATATTGTGTAACATTATAAATGTTTTTACTGTCACTTTTTAGCTATTTAGTGCGCGTTTGCTAATTTAACTATTAACTTAAAAAAAAATCTTACTGACCATAAACCTTTGAACAGTAATGTATATCTGTGTGTGTTCTAGCTGCATTGGACGATGTGTGTGAATTGGAGGCTGCGCTTCGTCCTGGTCTGGAAGAGATTGAGAACTATCAGAAACTCCTGGAGCTTCAGAAGGATTTGATTGGTGTTGAGCATCTGGCCGTGGCTGGACGTCAGCTCATCAGACTGGGCTGCCTCAGCAAACTCTCTGGGAAAGGCCTTCAACAGCGCATGTTCTTCCTGGTGAGATTTCAGTACACACATACAGTACACAGCCATGATATAGGGACCTATTGTTCTTAAAGGGATAGTTCACTCAAAAATAAAACACCTGTCATCATTTACTCGCCCTCATGTTGTTTCAAACAAGAGTTTCTTTCTTCTGTTGAGCACAAAATACGATATTTTGAAGAAGGTTGGCAGCCAAACTACTGGTATCTATTGACTATCTATTTTTTTCTATACTATGGAAGCCAATGGCTACCAGCAACTATTTGGCTACCAACCTTCTTCAAAATAACTTATATTGTGGAATGTTGGTCATTCTCATAATTCTAATGTCTATATAACTAACCCAAGGCCTAGCACTAAACTCTTTTCATATTTTTACACATGAAATTAACCGATTTCTGATGAACTCTTCTTTCTCTTTCTATGTGGAGCCAGTTTAATGGTGTTCTGTTGTACAGCAGCCGAGGGATAACATCAGCCAATCAGTTTACAGTGCACAGACAACTTCCTCTGCACGGCATGACAGTATGAAAACTCAGCAACCTTTGTGCAGATGATAATGATTTGGCATGAGAATCCACCCATGAGAAATCTGTGTATAAATGCATTATGTGTGTATGTGTTCAGATCCGGGAGAGTGAGGACGAGTGGGGCGTCCCGCACTCCTTCACACTGATGGTGCAGCAGCAGTCACTGGTGGTCGCCGCATGGTAATGTTGAGCAGTCATTTGCAATATCTGTGTGTCATCAGCTAGACAGCAAGTACAGTAATAGAAAGCATGTCAACAATTTTATAAAATCTCACATCTCATCTGTGCCCACTGTTTACACACAGCACAATTTTAATTGATCGGACAAGTACAGCTTTTTAAGTGGATGTAAGAGTGTTAGAGGTCCATATATGATGGGTGCATTAAAAAAGGTCTCCTGTCTCTTGTAGTTCAGAGTCAGAAATGGAGAAATGGATGGAGGATTTAAAGATGGCGGTTGACATGGCTGAAGAGTCTAATGGACCAACTGCTGACCTGCTGACTGCTAGCAAGGATGTCAGTAAGTGAATCTGATCACACCTTTTGTATGTTTGTTACAAAATATAATTGCCTTAGAATTAAAATCATTAGAATTAAAACCCTATTTGCTTTCTTAATACATCTTCCTGGTTTTATCAAAATGTAATATTTTGCTCCATCTCTGAAATGACTTTCCATTTTTGGCAACTTGTCATGATCCAACTAATTTTCAGAGAGTAAAATTAAGTCCTGCCCTGTTTCATGAAT